GTCCTTGTAGGGTCCTGAAAGTAGCAAAAATATTAATTTTGCATTAGAGTTTAACAAGTCTAGGATCGATATTGAATTTTCCCAGGGTAGTCACTAAAAAGACTGTAAAAGAATATGTAACTAACCAGTTACTACAGGAGAAAGAAATAGAATAATAAAAATCCAACGAAGGCCAAAAAAGGGGGAAAAAAGGAACCCAGAAAGGGAGGGGTAAGTAGAAAATAGTGAGGTGATTGATTTCAACCTAAATTTAATGTCAGTGGGTAATTACAATATTTAATTACATTAAATATTAAAAGATAAATATTCCAATGAAAATATTAATATTGTCGAACTGGACTTTAAAATAAGTCTATAGGAAGGTTGAAATTAAAAATATATACCATGCAAACACTAATTCAAAGAAGGTTGGTGTAGGTATACTTAGTTCAAAGTAGACTTTAAGACAAGAATCACTGCTAGAGATAAAAGACACATTTCATGATGATAAAGAGTCAGTCTCTTAGGAAGATATAACAATTATAAATTTGTATGTGTGTATTAACACAGCATAATTATGTAAAGTAAAAATTGATAGAAACGGAGGAAAAGTTGACAAGTCTGTAATTGTAGTGGGATATGTGAACACACCTATCTCAATAATGTATAGGGCTAGCAGAAGAAAAACAATTCAGCATGAGTATAGAACATCTGAACAAAATGATAAACAAAGTTGACCTAACAGAGCAACTACAGAATAGATATTCTTTTCAATTACATGTGAAAATTTTATCCATACTGACTATAGTAAGTAAAATAATGCCCTCCTCCCCCCACCAAAGACGTCTACTTCCTGATCCCCAGGACTTGTGAATATGTTGTTACATGGCAAAGGGAAATAAGGTTGCAGATGGAATTAATGTTGCTAATCAGATGACCATGAGATAAAGAGATTAACTAGGATTATCTGATTGGGCCCAAGGTAATCACAAGGGTCCTTAGACATGAAAGAGGCTGAAGAGTCAGTGTCAGAGGAAGGCAGGAAGTGTTTAGAAACTGAAAAAGGGAAAGAAATAGCCTTCCTTAGAGCCTCAGGGAGGAATGCAGGCCTGGGGATACCTTGATTTTAGCCTGCTGAGACCCATTTCAGACTTCTGACTCCAGAACTGGAAGATAATAAATTTACGTCATTTTAGGTCACTGTCCTTCCAATATCTGTTACTTGCAGCTGATGCAGTTGCTAACTATTCCAGGGTGTCCACCATTAACCGCTCTAAACAGCAGGAGCAGTGCATGAAGAGGTGTAGCTAGAATGTAGGCTGAATCTTGGGGATCGACAAGAGCTGAGTCTGAAGAAGTAAGGCAGGATCCTATCCACCCCATCCATTTATTCATGAAACATTTACAAAGCCCCTACTCTCTGCTGGATCCTGTGTGAAACACAGAGATGCAGACATGAATAAGACAAAGTCCTTGCTCTCAAGGAGCTCACAGGGGAAGACGGAGAATTAAACTCAAGTACAAAACAGTGGAGAAGAGCAGCGGCAGGAACATGCACCGGATGAGACCGGAGTACACAGGGCTTTTCCGGTTGCAAGTGGCGGAATCCCAGCGTGTGCAAGCTAAGACCAAAAGAGTATATAGCCTATAGCCAAAAAGGAGGGACGAGGCTTCCCTGGTGGCGCAGTGCTTAAGAGTCCGCCTGCCGATGCAGGAGACGCGGGTTCGTGCCCCGTTTCGGGAAGATCCCACATGCCGCGGAGAGGCTGGGCCCGTGAGCCGTGGCCGCTGAGCCTGCGCATCCGGAGCCTGTGCTCCGCAAATGGGAGAGGCCACAACAGTGAGAGGCCCGCATA